GCTGTTGTGATTTGTTGAGAAACTGCTTGTCATGGCTGCAGTTAATACTAATCATTAAAAGCTCTGGAAATACAATTGTTAATTAATAACTATTTAGTAATATATTTACTGTAATTTTAGATTTGGAAAAGAAAACTTCTTCTCTCAGCCTTCATGGATCTTATATTTATTCTGCTTACTCACAGAAGTCTAGTAAACAAGTGCTAATCCTTAGAAAATTTCCTTATGGGCCATTGGTCTATCTTGAATTCTGTTTCAGTGATGTATTATTTACAGGAAAAAACTCCCCTCTAGACTTTAGCTACAGTTCGTGCTCAAGCATGAATTCAGGCCAGCTATAGCAAGTCTGTGCTAGGTATGACCGGTTCTGGAGGATGTACTTGACTGACCTTCCTGCCAAAGAGTATTGGGAGCAATGTACAGCACAGTCACAGCAGTTCCTCATTCAGATTAGGAGGACATAAGGAAATCTCTGACAGTCTTGCTTATTTTTGCTTTTTATACAGCAAGGTGTCATAAGAACATGTGACATATATCTGTACGTATTATTTTTTCCATGCTGGCATTCACATATCTGAAGATGGTAGTGATATCTGCTCATAATGCAAAAAATTCTTGTTTTGTGTACTTTAGAGTAATTAAAAATTGTCTATGCATCATTTAAGACTGAATGTATAAATGGAAATTAAAGCCACAGTCCACAAAAAAGAACATTCAGTTATATTGTCTTCCACAGTAGCTTTTAATTTCTGTCTTGGGTTGGGCATTACCTTCCAAACTTGGCTTTATGTCTTTCAGTTTGGTATTGGTCATGCAAAGCTATTATATGTGTCATACACTTTGTCCGCCTTTTGTCATTAAATGTAGATGATGCCATATCTATTGCATGTGACATTTAGTGGTACAGTGTAGCACTGTACTCTTAAATAGTAAGCTAAGGTTGATAGAGTAGCTTCAGTAATTTCCACAGACATGCTATTTTAAGGTGATACATTCTCTACACAAGTATATAGGAAAAGCTTCATAAGATTTATTATGTGCATTTTTTCTCCTCTGAACAACTGGGTTGATTTCAATGCAGTAAACCAGATTCTATATTAAACTTCAGTTCCTTTTTAATTATGTGAATGTAGTTCTTTGTAGAGCTGTACCATGTGTTTGAAATGATAGGGATATTGGAAAAAAAAGAACGTTATTGATTTTTTTTTGGTAAATAAAATAATGGGAGCGCTTTCTCCTGAACAAGGGAAATTTTGCAGCTCATTGTTGTTGAGCTGGGAACACTCCAGAGAGAGCAGCTGGCAACCTGTTGTGTTTGTGATGAATGAGATCACAAGTGTATATCTGGGTATGTATTCAATTGTTTCTACTTATTGGGCGTTGCTTTTCACAGGCATTATTTCCATCATGATACCAAATGTATCTTACAAATCCTTTTGAGTAGCCCTTAAAGAAAAAGCAGACTGTAACACTGTTGGGATTTTTAATATCATCTAATAACTTAGAATAAAATGTTGAGTCAGCACTTCATTTCCTTTAAATAGTCCACCAGTAACAATAATTATTTATGAAAATAACTAAAAATGTCTTTATATTTAATATGTTAGGCTGCATATTGTACTTCATATTATTGGTGTTTTCAGAATTTATTTCTTATCAGCACATTCCCATGACATTTCCTCTCGCAAAATACTTGACTCTTCTTTCTCCCACCCCCTTTTGTATTTACAAAGTTCACTTCAATTCTTCTGTGTCTATTCTGATTAAAAAGAAGTAGATTTAAAAAACTGTTTTAGCATTACTAAGAAAAGATTGTGAATCTGGTGTGTAATGCCTGAGTGTCCTGACAGACAGTGGGCTGCATCTGACACAGATGAGTCTGATTTCTAAATCTTCTGGTTTTCAACTGCACAAAAGGACCTCAAATTATTATTGTTGAAATATGTGTTTGTTTCCTGTTGAGAGCTGTGAATCCAGAGTTAGATGTCTGTGCCTTGTGCCCAGGCTTTGTGCTGAGATCCTGATGAGGGTAGTAGTTGTGAAAGGGAAGGACGCCCCTGCCCAGATCTCCAAGTGTAGATCTGTAGGTGAATTGCCTGGGAGGCCTCACCCCCCTCAGTGACCTCTGCCCTCAGCATCCCTCTGTCTACTCAGCCCCAAACTGAGGTGAGGCAGAGTTGCTGCCTCTCTGCAACCAGAGGGCTCTGTGAGAGAAGGGGGGAGAAAGAAGGAAAAGGGTACACTGGGAAAAGGGGAGCAAGGACTCTTTCCTTCCCTTCCCCCTCCCAGTGCAGCTTCCAGCACAGCCAGAGTTCTCTAGGGACAGACCCTGGATTTTAATGAGGCCACACTGAGTGAGGGCTGTATGGGAAGAAGGGTGTAGTAGCATGAAGGATCAGTGCTGCAGTAGTCAGGGCTATTGTAGGAGAGCTGGCATGGGTAAAGCCTTTCTCAGTGAATGTGGTGGCATTACAAGAACAGAAGAACCATGGGAGTCACCAGAGATGTCCATGTTGCAGAACTCTCTACTGGGTGTGCATCCTTCACTATGCTCTGAATAACACAATGCACAAGTTCTCCCTGTGCAACTCCTGAGCTGGGGAAGGACATTCCATGGCTGGATGTAGGGAAGGATGTGGATGTTGGGCAGCAAGCATCAGGGCTGTAGTCAGTTTTGATGCAAAGGAGTCTCTGCAATCAAAGTCTCATAAGATCAGAGGGATGGTTTGTCTTAGAGCTGCTGAAGAGCGTAGGTTCTGTGTTCTTAAGGAAACTGACCTTTGTAATTCCCCCAAAGGTGAGCCAATGGATAGAAAAGATGGAGACAGTTTCTCAGTCCTTAGCTGAGGCACTGTACAGGTGACAGACTAGTACCTTTGTATTAGTGTTAAATATTGAGGAAAATATTGATTTGCACACTTACGGAACATATTTTATATGTTTTTTTCCTGTGTCTGACCTGAATTTATTTAAATCCTAAGCAAATGTTTCAACTCTTAAACTAAAAATCTCTCTGGTTCAGCCTTGAAATTCGAAAGATGAATCAAAAGCTTCTCGTACTAGTTTTTGTTTCAGGTTTCTTTTACACTCCCCTTCTTCCTGCCCCCCACTCCTCATATCCTCATAGTTTAGCCATGTCTGTCTGGCTAATTGTTTATTTAGATTTTAGCATTTCATATTGGCTACATAGGTATTCTTGAGTGTTACACTCTACATATTCCTAGTCAGGTATAACCAACCAGTTTATAATCCTATTTCTTTACCTGTTGGTTTTTGTTTTGTTTTGTTTTGTTTTCCATGGGATATTATGAGCTGACTAAGAGATTGGGTTAATTCAGTGGATATCAAACTGAAAATCTTGATATCAACATAACTGGCAAAATCTTCTGACACTTGCGTTCTAAGGGAAAAATATTAAAGGAAAGGACTCAAGTTCCAAGTAGATGTATGGATCACTTACAGTGTATTTGGACTAAACCAAGAACTCATAATGGGAAAAAAAGAATTTGTCAGCAAACAATGACTTAGAGGTCAAGATATGCAAGTGTAACATCATAGTTACAAAAAAAATTAGCTATGTAATTTCTTGCAGAAGAAATTGGAGCAAACAGCAAAGTGTTCTTCAACTGTAAAAGTTAGGAGAGAGAAAGGAGAATGCAAGGGTGACCTCTGCAAGGTCCAGATGGTATAAAGAATATAAATTATTTTGGAATGGTCCAAAAACTAAGTAACATTTCATGAATGCAGACAAGGCAGCTAAGGCAAGCCAGATAATAGTTCCTTCTTAAAGGATCTATTCCAGTACTTTCTAGAAAATGTGCTTATTTCCTTAAATCTTTTAGAGATGTTGAGAAGGTATAAAACCATATTATTGGAGACTAACACAAAAAAACATTTAAGAAGATGAAAAAATAACAGAGGTGGAGTTCCACTAGCATACTGTCAACGTTATATGTTCATTAACTGTGAAGAATTTTTCATCCTGTTCTTTTGAGAAAATTTGAGTTTTGTTTCCATGTTTGTTTTTTACCTCTTTCAAAATGATTGTGATTGCCTCAAGTTTATTGTGAGAAACTGTATTTAGCAATTTGTATTCTGAGTTCAGAGCTTTAAACCACAACATGTAGCATCCTGTCACTGGTAGCAATTACTGCTAGTTGCATCAGGAGAAAGTAAAAACAGATACTTAGCTCTCTTCACATGATTGTTCTCTGGGATTGTCACTGATGGGATTGTGATACTGAATCTAAGTAACCCCTATGCCCTTGAGAAAGTAATACAAATGGAAAGAAATATTTTTCTAGACAGGTTTGCTTACATGAGAATGAAGTCTTAAGAGTTTTCAGAATGTTTTCCTCTTTCTTGCCCTCTTAGGGTTAATTCTTGTATTATGTTTCCATTGACTCTGATTCAGCTCTTTGACTTCTATTTGAAAACAATTTTGAGCAAAGACTCTGTCACAGTTGTAACAGAATTCAAAGCTTATAAATCAATCATATGTTTGAGTCACCTGAAACCTTGTCCTTGTAAAACATAAAGCCAAAGAGCAGGTAAATCTAAACGCTTGGCATTTCTTCTAAAATGTTGAGTGTCAAATATTTACCCAAATATTTTTAATAGTTCTTTCAAATACTTGTTCTCCCACCTTAGTGGGAGAAACTCAATTATTTTCTTTCTGCTTCTGGTATGCTAAAGTGAATTTTGTGGCTGAAAGCAGAATTCTTCTATTTTGAGACTGATCTTTCCATGTTTCAGGAAATTCAGTTTGCCATATTCCATTAAAAAACTATGTTTAAAATACAGATGACTCTTAAGACTCATGTTCTTTTTCTTTGCTCTTGACCTGCTGCCTGCTTCAGTCTATCTCGTTTAAGGCTACTGATTGCATTGCAATATAAGAGAAATATTTTATCAATGTAGCTTCAATCCAGATAATGGACTCACCTGGTCTTAAAATCTCATTTTAAGCAGAACATTATTTTTCTTTGTTTTCCTTTCAGCCCAGTCATTGAAGGAGTTTGCTCGGCTCCTGATTGCTGTTGAAGAGGAGAGAAGACGACTGGTAAGTTTGCTGGCAGTAATCTTCCATTGGACATCTCCTTGAGTAAAATAGTACACTTTTTTCTATTCTCCCTGAAGTGGTTTTTTAAAAATTTTATTTCTGTAGTAGAGGTTAAGTACATCATAAGAATTATTTGGAATTCTTACACAAAGGCAGAAATGTACTAGCACAAACTACAGCAGTTTTTATTAAACAGTTCAACCAAAGACGTTTGCATCAATTTAAAAATTGTTTTCTCTCTGTTTCCTACCTTCCTACTCCCTGACCCAAAATAAGCTTTGAATCCTGGTGTACCTTTCCCTTCCTGCAAAAAGCTTATACTGGAAAGGGAGATCTGTATTTGTATTTAATGAAATACTCTTGAGTGTTGTGCAGTGAGTGTATGCTAGTAATGCAAGAATTTGAGAAGTGATAAGAAAAGAAAGTAAATTCATTACCTGAGAGAAACTCCTGTAGAATACATTGTGGATCAGTCTGGCTAGAGTCATCCATTGATACAGTGTCCTTATGCCATTTGAATCTATTGTTTGCTTTAATTTTTGTATTTCTATTCAAATATAGCTTTGTTAAAGAAGTTTTAAGTGTATTTTTATGGAACTATTTAAAAAAAAAATCCAGGTGAGCAGTGAAGCTATTTTTGTCCCTCCTTGGGAGTCAGTCATGAATAAAGGAGTGAGCTAAGAATTAACATCAGTAGGGGGATTTTTAAATATTGTGAAAGTTTAACTCACTCTAATCCATCCAAAGATTATGTCTGTGCCAGTTTTCCTTTCTCTTATGGGTACTTAGAACACTGAGGTAAGGCTTTTGTGACTCAGTTCAGAATCAATTTACTAATTCAGAAAAAAGTTTATATAAATTTGTCTTAACCTAGAAGTAAATAGCCATAGAATTGCTCTCCCACTATTTCTGTTTATATAAATATTTTAAATTAGCAAAGTCATAGCATTTATTTAGTACAATTGCATTGCTAATATTATTTAAATGTATAAAAGTATAATTATTTTTTTACTTCATGCAAAACATTTTTTCCTGGGTAGCTGGGACAGTGAAGTGACTGTTCTTTACTTACCACCTTAAAAGTAGGTTAGCAGAACACTTAGTAGTTCCTTAGTTAAACAATGTTTCAAAATTGATAGCTCTCCAGTTTAAGTTAAAGATTGTCATGAGCTAACTATTAGGGAAAAAAAAGCAATGAATAGATGAGGGTTTTATTTTTCAAACTCATTAGTCTTTCATACTATGTAAAAAAAATCCTATTATTTTCTCTCATTTCTTTACCCTCTTTTTTTTCCCTCAGAGGAGTCACTACAGTTTTCAGTTTTAGAAGTTTATGGCCTCTCTTTGGTTTATAATTTGATCTTGCCATATAATGTTTTTGTGAAAGATGTAAGAAGGCCTTTAGCATAAAAGAAGGAAAAAAAATAAATATTATTGAGTGAAAAAAGACTAGTCAGATGGAATAATATGTTTTGTTCTGTATCAATATGGATTCCATGGGAATGCATGGATTGTGTAGCTGAGTGTGGTAGGTTGACCCTGGTTGGATTAGCAGTGCCCACCAAAGCTGCTGTGTCACTGCCCTCCTCATCTGGGCAGGGAAGAGATAATTTAAGGGAAGGCTCATGGGCTGAGATAAGGGCAGGGGGAGATCACTTGGCAATCACTGTCATGAGCAAAACAGACTCAACTTGGGGAAATCTGTTTAATTTAATGGCAAATCAGAGTAGGGTAATAAGAAGCAAAACCCAAATCTTCAAGAAACTTCTTCTGCCCTTCCTTTCTTTTGAGGTTTTACTTTATCCCAGTTCTCTACCTCCTCCCTGCCAATGGCAGAGAAGGGCAGGGGATGAGGGCTGCACCTCTTTCCTCCCCATGGGCAGGACTCCTCACACTCTTGCTCCAGTTTTGGTCCCTCCCTTGGGGGACAGTCTCCACAAACTTCTCCAACATGAGTCTTTCCCATGGCTGCAGTTCTTCGTGACCTGCTCCAGTGTGGGTCCTTTCCACAGGATTGAGTCCTCCAGGAATAGGCTGCTCCAGTGTGGGTTCATGCAGGGTTTTCATGTATGGAGAATCTGCTCTGGATAGGAAATTATTTGTATCCACCTTTTTGCTCAGGTTGAAATAACCTCATTCACTTCCCATTCTCTGTCCAGAATGAGAACATTGAGGACACACAGTTTTCATGGTAGTTATATTTGCATAAGAAAATTTATCAGATTTCTCTACGTTTAAAATGTTTGAGCTGCCTGTTAGTGGAATTTGTTTAATTATTACTGGAGTAAAAGTATCACCTTTGTCAAAGATGTGGATTTTTTATTCCTCAGTTTCTTACTGCAGTTTTCTACATGTCATCATAGAATCCAGAGGTCCCTGTGAGGATCAGTGTGCCAAATAGATTCCTAGTATAAGGTTTTTCCTTGAGAAACTTGTAATTTAACTGTGGAATCTTGAGAGCACTTTTGCTTGCTTCTGAGGAAGTTTGGAGCATTATGCATATGTGATGGTGGTCACAGGGGTCTTAGGATGAGGGAAGAGACGTAGATCTGACTCCATGTTACAGAAGGCTTGATTTATTATTTTATGATATATATTACATTAAAACTAAGTAAAAGAATAGAAGGAAAAGTTTCATCTCAGAAGGCTAGTTAAGCTAAGAATAGAAAAAGAAAGAATGATAACAAAGGCAGCTGCCTCAGACTCTCTGTCCGAGTCAGCTCTGCTGCAATTGGCCATTAATTACAAACAAGCAGATGAGACCAATCCCAGATGCACCTGTTGCATTCCACAGCAGCAGATAACCATTGTTTACATTTTGTTCCTGAGGCCTCTCAGCTTCTCAGAAGGAAAAATCCTAAGAAAGGATTTTTAATGAAAAGATGTCTGTGACATGCATACACTAAGATTTTTCTGCTGGAAGCACTTAAAGTCAGCCAATTTGCAGCTTAGTGATGATACTAAAGAAGGTTCTCAGCTGATGGGAAAGCTTGAGACATGGCATGCAGGTCTTTAAGAATTTAATTTCCTTCTGCGTAAAGAGAGAAAACATGCAAAAGTTATTTTTAAAAAGCTTGTTCTTTCTGACATTTTGTAGAAGGCTTGGAGAAAAACATCTAGGCAATGTTGTGGCTATTTTTGGATACACTTCATCATACTACTTTCAACTTTCTTTTAATTCTTGTACCATGTGATAGTAAAAGACACTATTGTCTCAGTGAATGCAGGATGTATGAGAATATGGAGTGACAGATATTAATTTTGCATATCAGCTAATGGCCTTGTTTCCCTGCCTTGAACTTTATTTTGTTAAATTATGAGCATACATATAAGTGCATTAATCAGGTTAGAATATGAAAAGTATAAAAAAGTATATATTCATGTGACCAATTTATTTCCAATCTGATGCCTATTAAATTCTTCATAAGTCAAATTATATTTTTGTCTTACCGAACACAATATTGGAGTGCTTGTCCGCTGATTGTATAAATGAAGTGTTTCCAGTGGTCAAGGAAATAGTTTGAGAAGGTGTTTAACAAGGCTTCTCTCCTTCCAGCATAAAGACCCAGAAGAACCAGAAGTTTTTTTTTTATTCAGAAGAAGCTAATGAAACAAGACATTATGAATGGTATTATTAGGAAAAACACTGAAGTATAAAGTTAAATGAAACTTCATGTCACATAAATATTCTGTTTTGTAAGGCCTTGTGGCCGTTATTACTGACAGCAGTAATAATATGGTGATTATTGCAAGTCAGCTTCTTTTATCCTTGTCTTTTATTTCTTGATGCTAGAAAATTGAAGAGTAGTCAGAAAAAACAGAAGCCATGCACCACACATTTCCCCTTAAAGAGAAAATAAAGGAAAAAATAACTCATAAGATAGCTTCTTTTATGATGTACAGCCTTAAGTTTTGATGAGGTCTGTCATATTGTGGTGGTATTAATTTAGTCATGCTGTTGGTAAATGGTGCATTAAAAAGTTCCAACTAAACAGCACTACTCTTGAGCTTCACATGTACTGTAAATTGGATAAAAAGTCAGATTCATCCCCACTGCATTTACAGTGACTTCAGCAGCAAGCCATCAGGGATGTAGAATAATGACCTCTATTTCCTAGTGTTTATTTGGGAACAATAGAGATGCTGTAATTTAATCCCATGTGAATGTTTGAATCTTTATCAAGGGAACTTACTTAAAATAATTTCTGTCCTCTTTCACTGAATTTGCATTCTTTCTGTTAAATAAGTGATATATTTTATTTTACAGATTCATATTTTATTTATGCTTCCTATTAATTTTATATTGTTATTAAAATTAATAACAAACAGAAATTATCTGGGAGTAAAATAAAATGCTACTTCCTTTTCCTCTTGAAGGATTATTCTGTGTTGTCATCACTATAGATGAACTGGTTCATGCTACTGGTCCTAGAGATCCACTATGAGTTTGAAGCATTGAATGAGTTCTTTTGAGTGTCAATGTTATCTTGCTGGAACTGCCTGATTATTTCTGAGAGCTTACTGAATCCAAGACTGAAATAGGCTCTTAATTCTTAAATTCCTTGCTATTTATCCAAGTTTTTTTTTTGGTTGCTGGCAGGTGATGAATGGCCCCAGAGCTTTTTCTCTCTGGCATCATGAATCAGTGAGATTCCTGACCAATATTAAATACTCCAGGGGATATATAAAAATTCTGTAGTGGATAGTTTTGGACTATGCTCGATGAATATTTTTCTTTATAAAGTCTGCTTTTTTTGTATCTAATAATCTTCATGCTTCAGACAGTATCTCATTTTTGTGGACTTTTTTTGTATTAACTGGATGTTCTCATTGTGGTTCTGTATTTGCCCTCACACAAGGGGTCTGATGCTATCTGCTTTCAGGGAAAGCATCAAAATATTCAGTTTCAAAAGCTGCACTTGAAGAAAAATAAATGAGTTGTTAAAACCAACTATCCATGGAATGGTACATAAAATCAGATACTGAAGGGCACAGCATGT